TTTATGAAATAAAGAACAATTATGATCTAAAAGGTATCAAAATTTACAATAAAAAAAAAAAAAAAAAAAAAAAAAAAAAGCTTAATATTTATTTGTTTACTTTATTAAACATTTCTTTCAATGTAAGTTGTTCAAGTTGCTTCGTTTTATGTGATAATACTTTCTCTTTAATTCTATAACCAGACATAATTTCTTGTTCAGTTACAAAGTTCCGCTGTTCAAGTCCCGTTAATTGCTGTGCCGAGAATACCGACTAACTGGTCAATTAAAATTTTTTCGTTTTCACTAACCTCTCTGTCACATTCTTCATGTCTTTATCCATATTTTGCAGCCATTCCACTTTTTGTTTGATGGACATGGAAACATACTTTCGTTTTGTACGATCCTTTGGGAGCTCCAGAATCGGAAATTCTATATGATATAATCGAAAATTCAAGTTTACTTTTATAGTATTGCTCTTACAGTCTGCAAAAAATAATAAGCCGGATCCAATTCAAAAATTAAGGAACAATGCAATCATCAACATTAACTGAAATCGATAATTAGGTAATTTTAGATTATACCGCCCGTTATACATAAAATGCGCACGCAAAAACGTATTCTGCGCTTGCGCACACTCATATTCGCAGTCGTAAAAGGTCTTACGCGCACGCGTAAACGCCTAAGCGCATGTGTCAACGCGGCGTATGCGCAGAAAGTTTTTAGCTTTGAGGTCCGGATTATAGATCATTCCGAATTATGGATGTCTGAATTAACGACTTTTGACTGTATGTCAATTACCCTGGCTCACATTTTTTATAATACATTTGTGGCAAAAAAACATCTTTAGAGATATTTTGGTAACCTTTATCTGTTTCATACCTCTAGTTTATGTCTATGAAAAGGGAATTCCTGGCAAAAATCATTCCTACTTTTCCTTCTAATCATCAGTTTCAGTTTTACTGTTTTTAGCTTAGCAGTTGAGCATTTATCAGAAAGTATAGCTTACAAAATTTCCCGCAATGCAGCCAGACGCCGTAGTTTGAAATAAACAGATAAGGATTACCAAAATATCACAAGTAATGACAGTTGCCGAAAAATTATTGCCCATAACATGAGAGCTTGGATAACTGATTAGAATTCAGAATTTAATTGCATGTAAATAAGAATGCATAAATGTTGTGTTATAAATCAAGGGAAACACAATGCAACTAATAGCAAATAACTTAGAACTAATTTACTTTGTAAGAAGTCAAGCTATAAAAGAAACAATAACCAAAGCTATGAAAATAATAATAAAAACAAAACTAACCATTAAAGCTTAAGAAATTTTGTTCTTATTGCCAATTTTTTAAAGGTACTTTTTTAAAAAAGCAACCAGTATAGCAATTTCCAGCGTCATGCCAGACATAGAAATATCTCAGTATTTCAAAATAAACATTAAAAAAAAAATTTCTAAACTGTATGATTAACATATACAATAATATTATTAGAGTTAATAGTTACAATAAACTGAAGATTACATAAAACAACAATTTCTCACTGGATAGGCAATAAATAATTTTTTTAAATACATCTTTTAAAGATACCAGTTGGTGTTCTTATGATTAATACAAGAATTTTACTATTAGAACAAGCTATTGCTACTTCTATTTGTCGGCTCAGGCAAACTCGAAGAGTTTCGCAAAAACGGGTCCCCGCGTTAAGTCGTTATCCCAGCATAATGCTTCCGACTTTAGATTTCTTGAAGTTTCGAACAGTTTATGAAACATATCGAAGCAAATAAAAGTTCAGAACAATGATGAAACTGGGAGAGTACAATAACAGAGTCCGACGGAAACACCCCTGCAGTGCAGGCCGTAACGAAGGTAAGTACGCATGGTAAAGCAAATGGCATGGAGAGAAAACAAAAAATGCCTAGAGCTCACTGAATGGGAGTCCTCATGTGTGTAGTTGACATAGCAATGGTAATTTGCATAAAATATCATAAAATATAAAACATAGTGGAAGGTAAAAAATAAAATATATACAATATATATACAGGTCAGGTATTTACAGCAGGGACAGCAACACACACACACACACACACCAAAAAAAAAAAAAAAATCGGTATAAGAAAGTGTACAGATATATTTAAATTATAACAGTTGGGTGGATACAGAAGTTAACAGAAAAGTTACTAATCAAGGTATCTGAGGACCGCAAGCGGTCGTTTTTTATTTCTTACAGTATTGTAGTCATAGTTGAGCACTGGAATGGTGCTATTGTTGACATTAGGTATATTATTCTAAAATTTTTCAGAAAGGAGAGCAAAGTAAGCATAAATCGTTAGAATCTCAAGCTCCTGGTGAACTGCAGTGTTTCTAATGAACCATCGACAGTTTGCCGCTTGTCAAAGTATTATGTTTTGTAGTATTTGAATCTTCTTTACAATTAGTTATACTCGCATATCCCCAAACAGGGCAGGCATAAGAGAGTATGGGACGCAAAAGGGTCTTGTAAATGAGCAATTTGTTATCTATAGAGAAAACTGAGTTCCAGCCAATTAAGGGGATAAGTGTTCGTTTACGGGCATGGAACTTGGCAATAATCTGTGTAATGTGTTGGGTCCAGGTGAGTCACCTATCCAAAGTAATTCCAAGGTATCGGGCATGCTTAGTCCACTGAATAGGGATGCCATTCTATTTGTCAGACAGGCCATTTACAGGGAAGTATGTCAACTTCCTTTAACAATGCAAGAGCACCAGAAGAAAGGTTATCTTTAGAAAATTGCCATTTAGCTCTTTGGTTAACATAATTGCAGTGCCATTTTTTTCTATATATTTTTTTTCTGCCAATGTTTTAATGTATCAACTGGGCTGTCTAAGAGTTCTGGCTCTGGAATTATGTTTAGCAAATAGCCTGTCAAAAAAAAAAAAAAAAAGTTGAGCATTAAAGCCTCAGAATGTATGGCTCTCGTAGACATAACCTATCGAAATTGCAATAGTATATGTTTTTTTATTTTGCAAGGTGTTTTTTTATAAGACACCTTTCTTTGCCCTCTGTACTTGAGATAAAAGTGCCCAGAAAAATCAATTTCAGCACTAGTAAAGGAGCACCCACATGGCAAAACGTTAGACATACACTGCTAAGAGGAGTTCGGGGTCGCACAAGTAAGTATTTCCTATGATGTTCCATAAGTTAACGTTAGTTTGTGGCTATCTGGGGAAAACATAAGATATTTCTGACTGTAGCCTAGATTTGACTGACTAAAATTCTTCGACATGGATTGCACCATTTTTTTCTCACATGAGAATAAGAAATCTTAACTTACTTTTTGATGTGACAAGTGTTCCTATTTGAAGGAAGACTTCCAAAGAAAAACATTTACCTGACCTCTGATAATTAGAACATCTCAAACATGATTTAGTTCTTCTAACATTAGTGGCCCTCTGCACTGCTCAGCTGGGTTTCTTGTGTTATATATAAACCTGAAAACAAAACTTTTGACTCTGATTACTTTCAATTAATTATTAGTCAAGTTCTTGAGATTGCCTAAAACATCATTATCTACAGTCGAAGTCAATGCAGCATTTCCAGGAGATTATAATTCCTTTAGATAAAGGTCGTGTGTAGAACTTTTTGTGTCTAGCCTGGGCTTATATGTCTCTTGTAAAAACTGTGGAACTGTGTCATCATACAGCAGCCCACTATGAAATCATTAATAAATTGCCATTTTACACAAAAATAACAAACGACAACCAAGAGTACAGGCCAGGGATCCCAGGAAGTCTACATTTAAATATTCTAGAAGAGCTACATAATTCGCCTATATCGGACCACCTCAGTATTAAGAAAAACACTGCAAAGGGTCTGCGAAGCAGTTTATTTTCCGCAGTTACAGAAAGTCGTGACAGTGTATATCAGGTCATGACATATATGTCAATTAACTAACGATGCTAATTATAACCCAGACAGGTACCCAGATATTGGGCCACCTCAGTATTAGGAAAACATTGCATAGGTTCTGCGAAGAGGTTTATTTTCCACAGTTATAGAAAGTCGTGACAGCATATCTCAGGTCATGACATATGTGTCAATTAATTAACGATATTAATTATAACCCAGCCAGGTACGTAAATAATATAAAAACTACTTTCCCCAATGAGTTGGCGGGCATTGATTTTTCTCGTACCTTACCCCCCGAACCAGGCTAGATAAAAATAGACATCTTCTAACTATCGTAGATCACTTTCAAAATGGGTGGAAAAAAATTCCCCTTAAATGAGCATCAGCAAAAATCGTGTAAGATTCATTTTAAAATAACTATAACATAAAATACGGGGCCATATTAAAAGTAATATCTGATAACGGAAACCAGTTTGTAAACCAAGTTGTAAACCAGTTTGTAAACCTCGTACCTTACCCCCCGAACCAGGCTAAATAAAAATAGACATTTTCTAACTATCGTAGATCACTTTCAAAATTCAGAGTTCCTTCTTTTTTCTCACCTGCAGCTACATCTTGCTGGTGATATCTTCCATTCTGCACAGCACATCCAAAATGAGGGTGATCTGTTTTTGGACTCATGGCCACTAAGTTTATGAGCCAAAGGCTTTGAAAAACTTCCACAACATTGGCAGAAAATCATAGATTTGGATGATGATTACTACATACACTAAAGGTACATACTTTTTTTTAATTTCTAACTTAATACTTTCATACTTTTTTTTTATTTCTAACTTCATTAAGAATGTTTTTTGGCAGAAAACTTTCATTACAACCAGATATTTTCAGCAGCATCCACTAGCATAAAACACTTCCTATGAAAATATATTTAGTCTCTTAATTTATAGATAATAATCTAGTACCAACATTAGTTTCTTGTGAATACATCTAATGACAGTAACATGATTTTTTGGTGAGTTATTAACTTACCTTTAGTACAATTTTAAATATATTTCCTTTAAAAACATGTTCTCTAATGCCATATAACTCATCAAATTTAATAAAACATGTACTTGAAGATGAAAAATACTTACGGATTTTCTGATGTGTTGAACAATAGCAAAGTACTCAAAGAATCCAACTGCCGAGGTAGACTGCCTAAGCCTTCTTCCAACATCTGATTTCGTTCTTTTTGACGTTCTGGAACTCTAATATTATAAAACTGAAGTTTCTGCTTCAGCATTTTTTCATCAGGTGGTACATGTTTAGATTTCACATGATAAGAAGAAATTTGTTTTTCAGACAATTCATTATCTTTCGTAAATAAAGCTTTATATATTTCTAGTTCTTCAGCACCAGGGTATTTGTAGCTTGAAAATACCTAAAAAAGTACAATTAAAAGCTTTTATCAGAGTCTTATCAAATTTTTTGGGCCTTTGCATTATGTAATGCTACCATGCCATTTATCATTCACATGATCTGTAAAGTTTTGCCATTATACAAGACATAATATTTGTAATTTACATTGGAAATTATAAATATACTGCTTAACAAATTGAGTGCAATAAACACATTTTTTTTAATAATCTAAATCTTTATTTTACCCTTTAACACAACCTACCTGATATTATATGTATTAAAATCTTCTGTCGAACCACTTGTTTCAGGGTTTGTCGAAACATACTGTTGGATTCCAAACATTCCTGGTAGCCATTTTGACCATTCTCATCTTTGTTTGACTTTAATTAGCCGAGATGGTTAGAGTAGACAGAAGAGTACCCCTTGTATTAACTCGAACTTGTTTCCTTTATCGCCAAGTGATGGTTTATTTATGGTAGCCTAGTTGAATGTTATGGAAACCTATTATGACGTAACCTACTATTCGACTGCATGATTGTGGTGAATTTGTTAGAATTTGTCATGTGTGTTGGTTAGGAAGCACATTGCTTGTTTTCTGGTTTAGATGGTAAAATGGGTGAATGTGGTAAGATTAATTTGAAGTTTTTGAGAAAAGAGCATTACTTGACTGGTATGTAAATGAAGGTTTACTAAATAGCCAACCTGTTTGTAGGAAGGAAATGCATATGGTCGGATGATACGGCACTACGGAAGATAATTTTTATTTTTATTTTGTGAATTTATGTGGCGACGCCAGTATACAGATTCTAGTTTAGATAATTTTAGGAAGTTTTTAAATGCTGTTAAGGAATTTTGTTTGACTGAAGATGTGTTAATTCATAAATAAGGTAAGTGGATATTTCCTTTGTGTAGTGCAAAGATGAATTTCATTTCTTATGTTATTTCATTGTTTGATTTAAAATGTAGTTTACTGAGATTATATGATTTTTTGTTCGCTGCTCCTTTAACTTTTTAAGTGAATATAGTTCGATGTGTACATGGACAAAGTCAAGGGAGTGCGCAATGCCTAGTTTGCGCAATTATCTAATGTTCTTTTAAGTGAAAATAGGTTGATGTGTACATGGTTAAAGACAAGCAAGAGCGCAGTGCCAAGTTTGTGCAATTCTGGGAACTTTTTAAAGTGAAAATAGGTCAATGTGTACATGGATACGGAGTTTGTGCAATTCTTTGTCTTGTTATTTTGGTTTTGTGTAGAGTTAATTTTTGGTGCAAAAATTGGTGCTACAGAAGACAAAACAATAGGTCAAAGAATTGCACAAACTCGGTATCCAGGTACTGCCAAAAATCGACAAGGGATGCCGTTAAATATACTTTTACTGCCGAGATATTAATTAAAAACACTTTTCCAAATGATAAATTCCACGCGTAATTTTTCACTTCCTTTGTTGGGTTTTTCCTTATTAGCCCGGTGGAAGGCGCATCAAGAAGATTTAATAGAGTGGGCGCGTGGGGTATCACATACCCCAATATTTAAAATACGGTAAAAGTAATTTCATTTAATTGTATAGCTTTATTTTCTTTTATAACACATGGATAATACTTGGGTTACAAGAAGTTAATTTCCAAAATAAGCTTATAGACAGTTAATATTAAGATAAATGAAAATAATAATAAAATAAAAATAATTTCTTTAGTCTTATTGCATCTCTAATACACAATCCTTATTTAATCTGTTTACACTTTGAATAAAATACATTCATGTGTTCTTGGCACAGAAAGTTCTCATTTTAAATACTGCATTTGCGTTCTTCTGTCCCTGGCTCGATGGAAAAAAAATCATCACATCTTTTATACTTAGTTGTTTCGAATTTCATATATTTGTCTGAATTATTCATCGAAACTTCTGCTCTTCTTTTGCATGCAGTACGTAAGTCTCTCGATAAAGTATTAATCTCTGATCGTTGTTCAGTACTTTTTTTTTATTAATTGTAATGCTATGTCCCTCAAAAATAGACATCTGCTGGTGCCATCTGGTTGGTGGAGTAGCAGTTGAAAGTATTATAATTCAGAAATCATTTGCAGCAACCTTTAGTGCAGAAAATAAAATTAGCATTGCCCACCTCCTTTTTATTCGGGCAGTTGAAAAACTTGCTGCTATTTCATCCACAGTGTCCACTGCACCCTTAGTCATACTATAAAAATATATAATTTCTGGCGTTTTCTTTTTTCCAGTAGTATCATCTATAGCATCATTGCTATGTAATGTTGAAAGCATTAGAACAGTTTTTCCTTTTTTTAGGAACATAAGAAATTTTAAATAATAACACATAAGAAACATAAGAAATGTTTTATTTATTTTTTTTTTTTTCAAAACCCAAACAGTGTAGAAAATATTCCTATCTTCATTTTCAGTTTCCGAAATGCAATGTTCATCACTTTCAACTATTTCTAATAATTCTCACAGTAATTTCATCTGCAATTCCATCTCCAATTGCCATAATAAGATCAGAAATCTTTAAAAATATAATTTCAAACATTTTGAAACCGTTTACGAGTGGAAATATTTACAGTTTCACTCTAGAAATAAATTTCTCAAATAAATATTCAGTTACAAAAGCACTTACGCGGACAGGCGCGTGGGGTGTGTTATACCCCAGTTGCAACAAAATACCGATAAATCTTTTTCTGAAACACACAGGCAACGGAAAAGCAGTTTTGAAAGTCAACCACTGCTAGAAACTCAGCTACTGAATGCAGCACAGAATTTCAGTTTCACAAGTTAGGAATATTCCACTTTTTTGTAGAGGTGGGGTATGATACACCCCATGCGCTTTCCCGTGGGTTAAAGAGATTTGGCTATGCACAAATTTCTTTTTTCACAAATATCTATGGAACAGCGCTTAGTTGAATTTCGAGACACATATCCACCGATTTCTAAAATTCATTGGAATCCATTGATACCGTTCGCATCTTCGTTCGACTTCATACGAATCAGCCGAGATATTAATTTAAAACTCTGAAAATGCTAATTTGAATGAGATTCAATAGCCACTTTAGGGGTTTTTTTCTCAGGTTTTTCCTGTATGGCTTCGTGTTTTGAAAGATTTAAAGATATGGCACCGTCCCAATGTGCTAAAACCAATATACCGCTTTAAGAGGTTTTATTTTTAAGATTTTTTTTTTTTTAGCAAAGAATTGTTCTAGCATAGAAAATTATTTGTTATTTGACTTTTTTACCAGGCTGCTGCAGTCCACTCATCTGGCGGGCTTGCCCACTAGTAACATATTTAATTTTTGATGTACCTGATTGATAATTGTTATGAATACCTGCAGTATTATTTTAATTATAAAAGATATTTAATACCAGATTTATTTGAGTATAGATTGGGTTTTTTACATTATATTAAAGGTTTTATTATACAAAATTCATCTGTAATCAAAGCATAGAACTAAATAATAACTAAAAAAGGTCAAACCATTATTTAAATACGAAATGTATTTTAATATTTAAATGAAACAGCAAAAGATTCATTGAAGTTTCATGTGTTGCTATATTGAAATTAATAAGGCATAAAAAAAGAAGGGCTTAAATAAATAAATAAATTAAGAAGTAAAGAATAAAACATGCAAAATTCTGTCTTAATTTCAAACTGGCAAGTTTTTTCTCTACACATAAGAAATATTTATTATCAATCAGATACTAACATTTTACCAAAAGACATACACATAAGAGTATTAACTAATAATCAAAACTTTAAGCATATCATGTGTATAAATAAGAGTTGCAGCCAAAAGAAAATAATTCTGGCAGTCAATCTGGGTGTTGCGTTCACTTGTTAAGGTTGCACGCTCTAGACACTTATGCTGGTGCTGACCATGTGCTATTGTGAGATGTCCCTGCCTTGTGCTGAGTTTAGTCACTATGCCTAAAGAGCAACACTCTATTTTTGTTGATCAATCGTATGCTGTTCTATGTTCCTATGGACATTCTGAAAATGAAGATCGGGAGTTGTACCAAGCTCTAAAAGATGTCGACAAATTACAGCAGCAGTTACAGGATGGAAAGCCTATAAAAGTGGTACTTAAATGTGATAAAAAGATTTTTTACGTGCTTGTAGATAAATAAAGCTATCTGTTTTTCAATTCTGGAATCATAGGCATGCCAAGCAATTTTGTGAAAGGTACCGAGTTTTATGAAGAATTCGTTAGAATGCAAAATTTGAGGAGGAACAAAATGACAGGAAATTCACTGCCTGCAGCTCTCTCGAAAAAGACCGATGAAGCCCAATGGGAAAAGCCATAAAAAACTGCTAAATCGAGGCTCGAACCAGGAAACTCGCCTGTTGAGACCACTACTGCCCCGCAACTGCTCCTGAGATAAATATGAAGAATGACTTGCTGGGTTGCTGAATGCTTTGCCACCAGTGATTGAAGCTATGAATAGTGCATATGTCATGATGACTGATGAAAATCAAGAGACTACTACCGTTCCCTTGATTGTGCAGGGAAAGGAAAGAGTGCCTCCTATTATCTGTCTCAGTCTGGAATGAAATGGAACTATTTAAGAGGTCTGTTCTCAAGAAATGGAGTTCAGAATTTTACCAGAATACTGAGCAGAAAAAAATTACTATTATTTTTGACTCCACAAATTCTAGAGATCGAACACTTACCATGCTCGTGAAAAATGAAGTGCAATTTAGTACTTTCCATTCAAGGAAAGAGACACTACTAAATGTAGTGTTGCGTGGACTTACTGATGAATAATGGGTAGATGATACTAAAGACGAGCTGTGTAAAGAGGGATTCCAGGTGATCAAGGTATCTCAGTTCACTAGGAAATCAGAAGGACTTGAAGTTAAGCTACCGGTGTCTTTTGTCTCGTTACAGAGAACAGACGCAGGAAGAGGAATCTACAAAAAGGTTACTCAATCTTCGTGTAACTATGCTTAAGTGCAAAAGTAACCGAAATATGATGATGTGTTTCCGTTGCCAGCATTTTGGACATGGGAAGATTTTCTGCAATAACCAGCCAAAATACTCGAAGTGTGGGCAGAACCATCTGACCTATACTTGTACTATACAGAAAGAAGAAATGCCAACTTGTGTGAATTGTAAATTAGATTATGTTACCTCATTGAATATTTGTGAATCTTGTCCAAAAATTTGCATTAGAGACACCCCGAAGAAGCAAGTTCCGCCCACAAGACTTCAAAGTTCTGATGGACGAATCAGCGAGCCTTCGACAGTTCAAGCCTCCAAAGCCAGAAGACTTCCACTTAAATCCTACTCTGACACAATAAAGAATGATGAGCCAGATTTTAACTAGGATAAAAATACGAAGATGATATTCTACAAATTCATTGAATTTATGGAAAAGTGTAAGAACCTAAATTCAACACAGAAAAAAATTTTGCTCACCCTGGGAATAGTGGAACAAATGATCAAAATGGAATGGTAATCCTGCTAGGACTTTGTTATATGACTAAATAATAATTAAAGTGTTTCTCTTTTAGTTAACCTGGGCTCCATTAGATGGTGCCACATTATGGATTGATTTTCCACTTAAATGACTTACTTTAGGACTTAGACCTCAGCTGCAATGTTGGATTCTCTCTTTACCTCCCTGTGACCCTCCTATGGAGTACCATGTGCAGATAGATCTATGTGATGTGCCTTTTGGCATCATTCATGACAGAGCCAGAGACACTGAATTTTTGCAGTATTCTGGCAATACATGATTCAGTCAGTCAGAAAATAAAACCTACAGCAATGATTCACTACCTCTTTTGCCCCATGCACCCTTTTCATTACAGCTAGATGATCAATCCAGCTTCCCTCCTTTCCAAAACTCAATATATATATATATATGAGTGTGTAAGAAAAATAAATAACTGTGATATTTTAGCAGTTGTGAAGCTTGGCATCAACGTTCAGGCATGGCTTTTTGCAGAGTGGTAAGGAGGAATCTATTGAAGATGCCAAATTGATTTAGCTTTTAACTGTGCATTTTTATTCCATATCTTTAATTCAATTATCACTGTAGATCATTTATTCATTACTAAACAAGGGTATTTAAACTTTAATGCGTCATAGCTTATTCTAACAAAGAGAGCAAGCGCAGTAGCGTAGACTCTAAACATACAGAGTTAGGAAAGCTTCTGATGCAAAATGGCACGCATTCGTTATTTATAGTAGCCGTTACGTAATAGACTAGCAAATTCTAGAAGGTACTGGTCTAGGGGGAAGATCCTGAATTGCAGAAAGTTAATTAAAGGTTGCATGTTCGCGAAGAGCAAAGACATAATATTTTTAAAATATTTTACATATATATATATATATATCTACATACACATTTATTTAAATTTAGATTATTTCTTAACACTCCATCGGGCGCATTGATCTGACAGATACAGGCGTGTCAAAATCTCCGTTTTTGTCCCCTTAAACTTCTTCTCACGACCTTGCCTTATCAGCATCTGTCCATCTGGCCTCCCCCTCCTTTGGAATACAGTATCGACCAGTTCAGTGTAGGAGCAATTCCTGTTTTTAAGCTTATTTGAAAATTTGTATCTGTCAGATACTAGCGCCCGATAATGTTTGTCTCCTGAAGCTTTATGGAAGTATCGAGATTTCTTATAGATTTTTTATTTATTTTTCCTAAGGTGAGTGCTAAACGCTTTTTAGATTTGAATAATCAAAAAGACCTTGAACTAGTCCATAATATTTTGTTTAGTGATGGAAATGAGGAATTAAATGCTGAAGAATTTGATGAAAGTGATGATGAAGTGGATATTTTAGAAACATTTGAAGTGGATTCCGAAAATATTGAAAGTGATTACAATGACTCAGAACTTGATGATTATGCTAACAATGGTGATTTTTATATAGGAAAAGACAAAAGCACTAAATGGGCAAAATAGCACGGAAGAAAAAATGTCAAAGTTAGATCGCAGAATATTACCTGCAGTAATTGGAAATGTGAAAAGTATAAAAACTGTATATGACTCTTGGAACTTTTTTTTTTCCCCCTGATGAAATAATGGAAATAATTGTGAAAATACTAACAAATACATTTCTAGAATTTCTGATCTATTTAGTAGAGATGCAAGACTAACAGATATCATCGAAATAAAAGCATTTATAGGTTTACTTTTATTAGCTGGTGTTTTCCGCAGAAATCAACAAATTTTGGAAGAACTGTGGTCTATTGATGGAATGGGTATTGAGATGTTTAGAATGGTAATGAGTTTGAAGCGATTTAAATTTCTTCTAGGGTGCTGTAGATTTGATGATAAAGAGACGAACGAGAGAAGGAAAACAGATAAATTAGCACCTATTAGAGAAATTTTTGAGAAATTTGTGGGAAAATGTAAACGTAATTATTGCATGGGACAAAATGTTATGATAGATGAGAAATTAGAACGTTTTAGAGGAAGATGCCATCAAAAGCAAATAAATATGGCATTAAAATTTTTGCAGCAGTTGATGCTAAAACGCT